CTTTCCCTCCTTCTTCCCTTCTCTCTCTTTCTTTCCCTCCTTTCCTTCTCTTTCTTTTCCTCTTTCCTTCCTTTGTTCTTTCTCTCTACTCTCTCTGTCTCTCCTTCCTTCTTTCCTCCTTCTGCGGCCCATCTCTAGTGAGAAGGGGTTTAGGCTGGTTGGGGAAGGGAAGGGGAGGCTTTTGAAGATACCTCCCCCCCTTTGCTTCCCCTTCCGACATCACTTCTGGTGATGTCAGGGGGTGTGGCATATGGTAATGAGATATTATGCTAATAGCCTAGTAGCTCATTAGCATACCTTATGCTAATGAGCTCCTGCAGCTCTTTTTCTATGAAATGACCCCTGGATACAACCCTTTCTTAGCCCACTGATGCCAAGGAACTCTGTTTAGGATTGCCTTTGTCTGAAACCCTCCACCTGCAGAAGGTGAAACAAATATCAGATAACCTGTACCCTCCCCCTCCCCATTCCAACAGTGTCCTGCAATGAGCCACGCCAAGCCAGTGTTGATGGTGACAGAAGTATGAGAAAGACAGTGAGCACTGATTGTATGTGCTTGTTTGCCCCCATGTTCACAGGAGGCACAATGTGAATATAGGGCTGATTCCACACTAGCCATTTAATCTGCAATTGTCACGAGTTGATCATTCAGTTTCTAGATAGTGTAGCCAACCCCTTGCTTTCCAGTATTTTCTCCTCTAATTTTCCACCTTTAAAATATGTTATTTGTGGTGATTGTACTTGTAGGAACAGATTTTTATGGGGAATATAGTGCTTTATTAAGTGCTGTGTGCACTCTATTTTAACTCCATTTGCAGCTAAACGTGGCTAGATGTGGCAATTCTGTAGCGGCAACTGTGTACGTGTAATCATCACAGAACACAAGACAATATGATAACGGCTTTTACTAAAAAGGTGCATGTCACTGACATTCCCTTGAAAGCAGCTGCCAACCTAATCCCTAAACTGTGTTTTTAACTACCCAGCATTTCAAGGTCAGTTGGGATGTTTGCACCAGAACAGGAGGGGGGTGGGGAGAATTTTCTCCAAAAGGAATCCTGCAAAATAAACAGGTTGTGATACAGATGTTGCATTCACTAGCATCTTGAGATCACAGCCATCCCCAATTTTTGATGTTTCAGCATATCGGGACAGGGTAAAAGCCGGAACGACCCCCAATTTTTGATGTTTCAGAATATCTATAGTTCTTTTTTTAAAATGTCAGTTCCCCAAACTGCAAAGTCTTACTTGTTGTATATTCTGTAAATGTTTGGAAAGCTTCCATTAACATCAACATCTGAACCAGGCCAGAAGAACGATGCAGATTTTTGTCCTTGATACATAGCTGTCAGCCAAATCTGTTCAAAGAGAGAAAACACTGATGCTCATGAATTCTTTCAATTTATGATCTTTTTCCTTCTAGTTCGTAAAAACATTTAAAAATCACATAGCATTCCATAAAAGATACTATACTTTCCCCTTATACCAACCCTGCTAGTTACTTATACTGTAAGGATTATTCATTGCTTTGATATTCAATAAAATACGTATTTTGAAGACTATTAACCTAGAACACACTTCCCATTCTAAAGGAGTAAAAACAAACATAAAGGATTGCATTAAAATTTCATTTAATTTGACAGATATTAATATAGCTCAGGGCTGTATGCTTAAAATCACCACTTACTGGCTGCCCTAGGTACCACTGTCGTTTGAACTTCTCTTCATTTCTGAGCGTGAAGAAAGCATTTCTCTTGGGCTCATACATTTTATTATCCACTAGACCATGTGATTCAGGATATAGGCCCTGCAAGCAACATGGGAGTAATTATTACCTAGGTATCAACATTGTTTATGCTCCTGTCAACTTAGCAACTTAGGCAACAAAACAAGCCAAGAGAATACTGGCATGATTCCTCTTTAAAAAGCTACAAAAGTTATTTTTAGACTTTGTTACCTAAAAGACAGCTGGTTAGCTTTTCCTCTGCAATGACAGTCTTCAAGGAAATTTGGGTGCTTTCTAAGGCATGCTCTCAGTTCATGTGGAGCAACAGTGAGGCTCAAGAGGGGTTATGGGGAGTATAAAAACAGAATTTCTTTGAAAGGAAAAACAGGGTGTCACCCGTTGAGATACAGATGAATACTAGGAAGTGGATGGGGTCTTAACAGGCATGGAATCGACTGAAAAGTTTGGGAATATATGAAAAAGGCTAACTGGTTTGGTGTTGTAAGCCATTCTGAGACTTTCAAATAGGAAAGGACAAAATCAAAATAAATACTAAGCTGAATGTGTTGTGTTTTGCTACTAACACAAACACATGGTATTTAATTCTTATTCTGCAAAAAGCAGCAGAGCTCATCTAAATAGGCAGAACTCTGCTGACACAGACATCCTTCATGGTTTGGCCCTTGGGGAAGCTTCAGGACCACAAGATTTCTACTCCTCACTTCCTCCTCTCATCACAGATGGCTGAGCAATGTATAAAACAATTTCAGAAAATGAGTGTAGCTGTGAAATGTCTGGATGCTAAGACCAAAGAACAACACCAGAGGATCAGTCAGTATAGTGGGGATGGATGGTAAAGTGTAGTTTGCTCTAGAAATTATTAATTAGCCTGAGTGGAGAGAGAGGGGAGGTACAGCAAGAATTGCAGGAGAAAACCTGAAACATAGTTAACAGTCATTCATGTAGCACCAAACTACAACATTAGTAGGGGTCTGCAATTATTTTTAATGGTATTTTTCGGTTCGGGTCTATTGGACCTTAAAAAAAAAATGAGATTCCCAAAACATCCCGGATCCAAATCCCATACCAAATACCAAAAATCCAGGATTTTTTGGAAATCCCAAAAATTTTCTGGTCCAATAGACCCAAACTGAAAAAATACCAGTAAAAAATACCAGCCTGATCCTGGGGCTGGTGTGGTTTCTTCCTGCAGCCCAGTTTAAACCAAGCAGCAGGAGAAGGCAGCACAGCGCGGCATGAGCTTCCCCACAGGCACAGAGATCCCAGCTGGGCTGCCCTCTCCTGCCACCTGGTTTAAACTGGGTAGAGAGAAGGCAGTGCAGAGCTACGCCAGCAGGGAACTCTCAACTCACCACCGACCCAGCTGATCTTGAGCTGGCTTCTCTTGCAGCTCAGTTTAAACTGTGCTGCAAGAGAAGCCAGCCACCCTTGCTGATCCTCGGGCTGACTTCTGCAGTCCCTTTAAAGTTTAAAGGGACGGCATAAGCCTGCCCTACAAACAGGTGAGAGGCAGGAGCCTCTCCACTGTTTTCAGATCTACCCGAAATTCCCAAATATATTCGGGATTTTCTTGGGATTTTTTTCTGGTTTTCCCAAGAATACCCAGATACACTTGGGAAACCAAAAAATATTGATAAGGTATTATTCAGGTATATTTTTGGCTTGGGTATATCCAAATGCACACCCCTAAACATTATATCCACACCAAATCACTTATTAGTTTGAGATTACAGTGTACTCTAGCATCATCTCATTTGAGGCAGTTATTTTCCAGGTGGCAACAGATATTTTGAGGTCATTAAACCAATGGCATTTTACTTTAGAAATTGTGATCCTGGTATAATTTGGGGGAGCAATGGCCAAAGTCATGCAGAATGATATGAGAACAGCAGTATACATTTTTACATGGGCCTCTGAAAAAAGGCTTGTTGGGGGGGGGAAATACAGAGATTTATTATCTGCAGCTTTGACTCCCTATCCTGACCTGTATGGCCCAGAATAGCCCAAACACGTCAGAACCTGGACACTAAGCAGGGTCAGCCCTAGTTAGTACTTAGATGGGAGACAACCAAGGAAGTCCAGTATTGTTACGCAGAGACAGACAATGGGAAACTACCACTGTTTGTCTCTTGCCTTGAAAATCCTATGGCGTCACCATAAATCCGCTGTGCCTTGATGGCCCTTTCCACCACTCCCATTACTCCCTGCCAGATATTGGCCACAGCTTGACCTTAGGACACCCAGTAGCTGCCCCCCTTACCATTCTTCCCCCTATATTGTCTGATCCCCTGGTGTTGCTTCTTTGGTCTTATCATCCAGGTATTTCACAGCTACGCACATTGTCTGCAAGTATTTTCTAAGCTGCTAAGTGATGCAACCACTACCAAAGGTGACCAAAACTTTTGTGATATTTGCAAAATATGTAGCTACAGGTCTTCTTCTGAAGTCTAAGATTTGACCTTAGGACACCCAGTAGCTGCCCCCCTTACCATTCTTCCCCCTATATTGTCTGATCCCCTGGTGTTGCTTCTTTGGTCTTATCATCCAGGTATTTCACAGCTACGCACATTGTCTGCAAGTATTTTCTAAGCTGCTAAGTGAATGCAACCACTACCAAAGGTGACCAAAACTTTTGTGATATTTGCAAAATATGTAGCTACAGGTCTTCTTCTGAAGTCTAAGATTTTATTCAGTAGCTAGCTACCTACAGGTGCAATTCTAAATACAGAACTCGGTAAGACAGCACTCAGCAAACATGTTTAAAATTATGCTGTAAACATGGGGGTGTTTCAGAAGTCACAGAATGTAATATTTTATAAAATACAACACACTATTTCCATTGAAAGTAAAGGAAACCAGTGCAATTCCTCTTCAGTGTATGCGTGAAATCACACAATGCTCTTACCGTGGCAATGCTGTAATGATTGGGAAATGTTTTTGATGGATACACTGGTCTCATGCCATCAGTGTATGTTCCACATTTTTCTGGTGAAAGAAAAAAATGAAGTTTAATATCTTCAACAATTCCACAGTTACAGATTATATTAATTTTCATATCAAAATGTATAGATTATTAAAAGAATATGGCAATAGAAATATTCAGCAACTCCACTCAACACCAACTCCTCTCAGGTAATTCATTGTTTGGTAGTTGGGTCAACCACAACTACATAGAAGCCTCATCACATCTGCAAGAATCAGCTCTACTCCCAAGTTCAGGCAGTTTTCACCCTGACTATGTGGTTCTTTTGTCTAAGTGAAGTTTGTGCTGGCCTGGTAAAAATCACCCAGATCATGTGACAAACTGCCTCACAATAACTGCCTGTTCTGTAGTGATGTTTTAAGGGACTATCACAACGCTATTTGCCTATTTAAACTGGTCTTCATAAATGTGAACAGAGAAATCTTCATGTGGCAAAATGTCAGAATTAATTTTTCCAGCACAAGTCTTTGTATAAAAGCAATACATACAGGCACACACAGACACAAAACAAGTACCGTGTTTCCCCGAAAATAAGACACTGTCTTATATTTATTTATTCTCAAGAAGACACACTAGGGCTTATACCACAAATGCATAGAAATCCTGCTAGGTCTTATTTTGGGGGAAACAGGGTATTAAGAAAGTTGGTTATTATTTAGTATATAGTTTATTATTACCCTGCATTCCAAGGTTAGGCGGGTATTCCAGAAGTGATGTCATCACATCAGCGACAAAGAAAGTTGGTTATTATTTAGTATATAGTTTATTATTACCCTGCATTCCAAGGTTAGGCGGGGATGTCATCAACGGAATGACATCAATTCCAGAAGTGATGTCATCGCATCAGCGACATCAGGGCAATGCTCTACTTTTGGGGCAAAACTCTATGGTAAAAATGGCTACAAACCATAGAGTTTTGCCCAAAAAGTAGAGCATTGTCCCTGACATCACCAATGGATGCCTTTTTGGGGGTGGGGTTTCCCCCGATGCCCGAGTCCGCAAAAGCAAAGGATCCCCCGCCCCCACCTGGGGACTGGCAAGCCTAATGCCAATTATCACTTTAAACATTAACTAATGCTGCTTATATGAGCTGAAGCATTAACATTTTAAAAAAGATGTTCCAGCAGCTGATTGAAAAGCTGGAAGAGTAATGTACAACAATCACTGAGACTGAAAGCAGGATTGTGCATTTATGCACAAAGCTGTTAACAGTCTCCCTTGTGAGGGTTCAAAAGTAAGAAAAAAACTCATTTAACATCAATCTGAATTTAGGAGGATTAATGATTACAAATCCATTTAAATGAGGCAAATTCACAACTATAAATTATAACTAGCAACAACCAAGATCTGAAAAATTGAGCAACTAGCTTTGAATTCTCAAGACATTTGGCTTTTACTTCTCACATAGCAGCATTTCTTCCTCCCTGCATAAACAGAACTGCTTTTGATGCTCATAGTACTTTAAAAATCACATCCAGATTATGACTTGTACAGGGAGGTATTTGAAGAACAAACAGTTCTGCTGCTCAAAGAAAAAAAATTAAATATCCCATTAGGCACACACCCCCTTTTGCCTGGTGATGTAAGGACTCAGAGATCTCCATTCCAACTTGTATCTAACAAAGGCAACTTTGACACTTGATAGCTGATACTCAAAAAATCTTGTTGGCCTCTAAAGTTACTGAACTTGAATCTAGTTGTTCTACCGTTCAACAGAAACTATGAAACTTATGTAAAATGAGAAATACCGTACCATAAAATCCACAAAAGATCTTAGCAACCTGCCTTTCTCTCACTCTTAATTTCTGGAACCCTTCTGTGGAAGTTTAAACTTTAGGTTTTTATGGAAAATCATATTAATTAATTTATAGACATAAATTTCAGCACAGCAACAAGAATGGCAAGGTCTTTTCCACTGCCCATGTACCGCCATTGTTTTCCACTGTTTCAACAAACAGAACATGATGGAGAACAGACAATATGAACAATGTAGTAACATCATCATTTCCTTTTCCCAATAATCCAGAGCTAGAAAGCCAAGTAAGTTGTATGTGCATTGTTAAATATATATTTCTGAGCAACTTAATGTCTGTCTCTCTTCTGTGTTTTAATATTTTATCCAATACTGACTCCTAAAAAACCTTGAGGAGGCAAACAGTCCTGTCTCATGTAACTTTCCTTGTTTAGGAATGTGGTTTCGGAAATGTGCAAGATAATTACTGCCCAGCCACAGAAACAGTTGCTTAACCACGTCAGTGCTTTGTGGAACTCAAGAATGTCTCTTGCCTCTTTACTGATCCTGTGCTGCAAAAACAACTGTGGTATCATAGGTCAAAAGGAGTTTATGGAGGGTATAAGAAATTCAAGTGAGAAAATTAGGAAAAAACACAGCTTGGATTTTTTTTAAAAAAATATTTCAACATGCTGTCTCTCAGACAGAGAAACTACTCACGTAATTTGCTAATAACAGGAAGAAGTCCACCCCATGTGTGCAAATACTCAGCCCTGAATCCATCCAAAGAAAACAACAACACCGGAGGCTTTGTAAATCTGAGCAATTAGAAATGAGACAGTTAGAAACAAATATCTGATATTTATTAGCTCATTTTCTAGACACTTTTTCAGTCTGGGACTACTCTGTTGATGTGTATCCCAAGATGAATTGGGACAGAGACAACTCTAACCAAACAAAAATACTTGGATCAACTTCAGTTATATATGTCAAGCTTTTTCACTCTGTGGAGGAGACCAGAAGTCTAGAGGAGGCAGAACTAACCAGAAATGGTTTAAGCATAGACCAAGGAATATCAAGAAGAATGCTGTATAACAGACTAGCAAAAAATATATATATTACTGTTAGCAATGGCAGCAATATTTATTTTATTTATTATGTTTATACCCCGCCCATCCCACAAGCAGGCTCAGTAAGCAATGCCAGAAACTCTGGCTGTCCTCATTGACCACAAGAAGGACCTTTAAGACACAGTGGGAAGGAGGATGGAGAAGGGCAATCCTGAAGTGTGGCATATGTTTTAAGAATACTGAAATGTGTTGGGACATGCTCAAATTCAGTCAAAATATCAGGCTGAATACTAGGAGAACCTAATTTAGGATGCAATCCTATGCACAGTTAGCCAGGAGTAAGCACCCTTCAGGATAGTGGGGCTTACTTCTGAGAAGACATGCACAGACTAAGGTGTTACTATTGTTCTTTATCACATAGGATCTTCAAGAACAAGATAGACAACTAATTGGTTGTAGACATCATCCATAAGACAAGAATCTGGATGATTTCCTAAGGTAAATTTAGCTTTATAGCCAAAAGTGGTGATCACTGGAGATGGACATTGGAACTAGGGATGGGCAGGAACCAGAAAAATGAAAGTCTTTGGAGGTTTGTGGCTCATGAAACTCATGAAACGTGAACTTCCACGGACTCTCCCGGGCTAAGAACCAGTTAGTAGTTCGTGAGGTCCATGATGCAATGAGACCCAGAAGTGGGCTCAGAAGGCATTCCAGACCAAAATACCAGGTGATATCAGGAGGTCCAGCAGTGGGGCCAGGACATAAAAGCTGGCAGTCCTGTTCTGCAATAAGACCATTTAAATTGTGAGGGCTCCTAGTGTCCTGGCCCCACTGATGGACCTCCTGATATTGTCTGGTATTTTTGGCCACTGTGTGACAGAGTGTTGGACTAGATGGGCCACTGGCCTGATCCAATATTGGCTTCTCTTTTGTTCTTAGCATTTATTATGAAAAAAAATTAAACGGTTAAAAGTATGTCTTAGACATTACAATATTTTTAAAAGCTGTATTAATATGAATCCTAAGGCAAAGGTCTTAACACTCTTCTTGATTAAAGAAAAGAAATCTGATTTGGATCACAGGTCTTGGTGCTTCTAATCTGAGGTTTCCCCAAAATATTTTGGTTTGTAAGCCTCATCACTGTGTTTACAGCGAAGCCACATATGCCACAAAAATGCTTTCTCACAAGAAGCTTTCAACAGCTATGGCTAAAAGTCATTTAAAGCCACTAGCATTCCACAGTCAGCAGTACATATAAAAGACATTTCCTTCTTTGAAATCTCGGGGGGGGGCCTCTATATGTGTCATGGCTGATAAAAGCCTTCCAGGGAGAAAATTACATTAGCAATTTGGGTAATCACTGTACAGAAATATTTACATTATCAGACTTAAACAACCTTTCTTTCCTTTTAAAAAGATGTAAAATCAAATTTAAATATCCTCACCCATCTGGACACTGGGGTTCCTTAATGTCCTTACATTCTTCTTGAAGCCAGCTGGTCTTTCCTTATTTAAGAAAAGAGATTTTATTTCAAATATTACATCAATCTGGGGTTTTTTGGAAGAGAAAAAAACAACGAACTGATTGAAATGGAAAATTAATGAATCTACTCATTTTCAATGCAATCCTAATCAGTTACATCCTTCTAAATCCATTTAAACCAACAGGTTTACCATGGTGTATATCTGCCTAGGACTGTACTGTTAATTCCTTCTAAAATATTCAAAACTGTGCAATTTAAGGTGGGAAAGTAAAAAATCCTACTGGGGATGTCCAGGATCTTGCACGTATTTAAGGAAACTCTTTGATCCTTGCCTATATTACTTGATATGGTTGAAATATTCAGTGACAAGAAGTAATCACTGAATCTGGGCAACAGTAAACTTGAGTGACTTCCCCCATGCCCCTAAATGAAGCTTTAACCATCCAAGATTGCATTCAGCTATAACCACAGATCATTTTCTGTCATTATATTTCAGTGACAAACCATGGCTAGTTACTTTCCAGTCTGTAAAGGTGTATGTACCTTATATTGCCTTATAGTTTTCAACTGCCCCTTCAAATTTCAGCTCTTTTTTGTTCAAGCCCTAGATAGCTCAGAAAGTGTTGTATAAAAATGCCCAAAGGCTGATGAAGACTACTCCATTATTGCTCTTTACATCTTTTAAGGACACAAACATAAATTAGGAAGATTTTTTTTTTTTACCTTCGCAAACTGAATAATAATTGACGCAGCAATTATCATTTTTCACACAGTCATCTGAACAGGAGCAGTGATATTCTGTCCGGTTCTTCTCACCACACCGAAACTTTGTACAGGTCCATATGTGAGCTACAATCAAAACCAAGCAACCCACTTTTAGTTAAATAGGGCTTAACTGCATAACTCGAACACATATGAATATAACCGCATGCCAACTCTTCTGACACTTTATTTAAAAAGATACATTTAAGAAGTCAGCAATTTTCACTTTGGCTTCCTAAATTTGTAGAAAAGATGACACAGGAAAAGCAGGAAAGCCCTTAATTGTTTTAATGGTTTAGCTCTTGCCTGTCAGAATACAGTTTCATGTTCATGCTGACAACAAGGACATAAAATCTAGCTGAAGACACTGAAGTCATCAAACACCAATTTATTCACTACCACGTCTTCCTGCTTTCCTCCACAGAATATTTTTGTCTTTTTCTTTTTGGTGAGTGTATATGTGTATGTGTGTGCGCCTGGAAAACACGGTTGACTTCTGGTAACCCCTGCATTCCCATCAGTACAGCTGTGTCAAGAATTGGAACAATTGGGGGGAAAAGTCTTACCAGGTTCTATACAGGCTTCTTGGAAATCTAAACAGCAGTTTTCAAGTTTAACACATTCACTGTCACAGCGGCAGCTTCCAAATGTTCTCTCAAAGCAGCGGCCTTTGCAGGTTTTGACTGAAATGTTTAACATGGAATGCATCTTCAGTATCATGGCCTGAACACTGATATTACATTAATTAACATTCAATACTGGTTTGGAATAGACAAAGAGTAAACTGATCTTAATAGACTACCAAAATGAAAATGCCACTGATGTTGTATATGCATTTGTTTGTGGTGTGAAGCCTGCAAAACAGTGCAGCTATGTAACATCCCTTTATTTCAAAGGACTTCTGCACAAGCTACAATTCAAATAAATGTCAATTGGATACAAAAAAGGGCTTTGTGGATTCTGCACCCATGGGTTTGATTGTCCCTATCAAGGAATTTAGGTCAGAATAATCTGAACTAGAAGATGTAATTTCTACCAACACTACCACCAGACAGTTCTAGGATTAAACTCATTCATCCAGTTCGGGCCTTAAAAATGTTCACAATCACCAGGATTTCTTCCACATACAGCTCTTGCTCCATGTCTTCCCCAACCCCCCCCCCAAAAAAGAGGGTTTCCACATAAAATCACTGTACAGTCATCTACCTTGCAAGTTTCCCTCAGCGTCAACCTGCAGTTTCCCCAAACCTGCTTTGGTATTATTTGTTTGTTTGATTGATTGATTTATAGACTGCCCTCCCCGTGTGAAGGCCTTGGGGCAGTGAACAACATATTCAATAAATACATTTACAAATCCAATTTAAACAGTTAAAAACAATAAGTTCTATAACTATTTCAGATGGCTTAAAGGACCAATTTATGTCCTTACCCCAGGAGGGGAGAGGAGGGATGGGAGGCTTGATGAAAAACCATTGCTGTGCTCAACCATAGGCCTCTCCTCCACTTGCACCTGCTGATGTGACCTTGGGTCAGTCACAAGCTCTGGCACAGCTGTCCTTGAAAAAGAGCAGTTTGTGTCAGAGTTCTCTCAGCCCCACCCACCTTACAGGGTGTCTGTTGTGGGGAGGGGAAGGGAAAGGAGTTTGTAAGCCGCTCTGAGACTCCAAGTGAGGGGTATAAATCCAATCTCTTCTTCTTCTTCTTCTTCTTCTTCTTTTCCCTCAGATTGTCATGGCCCCGCCCCCAGCGTGCCCGGCGTCGTCATGTCACTTCCTGGTGACGTGGATGCGGTGCGCACGCGCGCTCCATGATCAGCCCGGGAGGAAGGTAACACTTGGCAACCCTACCCTGCAGGGCTGCACTAGGTCCCACAGGGCACAGATGTCATTACCACCAGGTTGGTGCCAGGACCAAAAAAGCCCTGGCTCTAGTCAAGGATAGCTGAATATCTTTTTGGGCCAGGGATCACCAGGAGGTTCTTCTCCCTAAAGCCTAATGCTCTTCTAGAGGTATCCCAGGAGAGGTGGTTCCATAAGATCTTTCCTTGCGATGGGTTGGGGATGAATGTGGACAGGAAGGTGTGGATTTTATCCACATCCAGTGTAATTTCTCCACATTTTTCCTTGTGCATGCCACATACACACACAAGCAGCAACCTTTTTGCCATGTTTTTCTTTTATTGAAGGATGACAAATGGCAGACGTAAGGCAAAACAACAGAAAATCCCCATGTGGAGGTTCCATTGCTACTGCACAGCCTTTGCAGCCATGAGAGCAAAATGGGGAAACCACCTCCATGTGGAAACAATCTAGGAAAATGAGACCCCTTCTGAAATACAGTGTATTAAAAACGGCTGTATCATGTCACTTCATTATATAGTTGACCCCAAATCCATCTACTTCAGTCAAGTAAAATATCATGCAAGAGTTACACTGCAATCTTCCTGCAATCATTTCCAAGGAATTTGCTCCTAGTGGGACCCTCTTTGCTGCGTTCTCCATGGTTGTTCCAGCACCCATCAATGTTCCTTTAACAGCATGATCGCCCCACCACACATACAGCAGCTCTGTGAGGAAGGTCAGACTGAAAGCAACCGGCCTAAGGTCACTGGGTGAGCTGTCATGGCACAGTGGGGACTCAAACCTAGTACAATGTTACTATCTGATATTTTTTAAGGCAGAAAGATGGTAATGGGAAGGGAACTACCAAATGTATCAATACAAACTCTTTCACAGGCAACAATATGTTTCCATTATGACTTGATCCAGGGCTCTTTTTGTAGAAAAAGTCCAGCAGGAACGCATTAGCATAATAGACCACACCCAACAGCAGAAACTCATTAGCATATTAGGTCACACCCCTGACAACACAGCTCATTAACATATTAGGCCGTACCCCCATGTTACCAGAAGTGTCATCATCCAGCCACACCCATCTTTTGCTTCTTAGTCTGTTTACCCTGTTTGTTGTCAAAACCCAGGGCTTTTCTTGTAGCAGGAACTCCTTTGCATGTTAGGCCACACACCCCTAATGTAGCCAGTCCTAATGAGTTTCTGCTGTTGGGTGTGGCCTATTATGCTAATGAGTTTCTGCTGGGTGTGGCCAACTCGGGAGCCAGCTGGAACTCCGTTCCTGTGCGTTCCTGCCCAAAAATAGCCCTGCTTGATACTAATAGAAATGTTAGGCCTGAGACCTTGAGTTGGTTGTACATTTGAACATATGAAACTGACTTAATATTGAGCTAAGACTACTGGCCCATCAGGTCAGCACTCTCACTGGCAGCAGCTCTCCAGGGTCTCCGGCAGAGGTCTTTCACATCATCTGCCAACTGATCCCTTTACCTGGAGTTGCCAGGGATTGAACCTGGGACTTTCTGCATGCAAATCAGATGCTCTACCACTGAGCCATGGCTGCTCCCATAATTTGTTTTGATGAACCAGAAAATGTACTGATTCTATTGGAGTCTTAAGGAGCTGTTTCAAAATAATATGTTATATAGAGCAGAGATATTCTGGCGGAACAATGAACTGTTTGAATTACCTCCTCTATTCCTCATTAGTTCTGTACCCACGCTTTTAAATTCTTAACCATTTGAGTTATTTGTTTCTCATAGTTGAGTTCAGTTATTTTCCAATAATACAGAGAAACAAAAACATTTTGAGTTGCTACGATAAACCCCTAATGCAAGATACTTTTTTATGTCAATGGGAACTCCTCAAAATGTGTATGCTAGAATTTCCTGTAATTACCATCTCTTGTACAGCTAGGCTTCAGTCCAAATATGCATCCTAAAATTGTTGTTAGCACAATGACACACAATACCTAGAACATAAAAGAAAGACATAGTTAACTGACAGTAAACAACAATGATATGTCATCTCCAATCTTGCAAAACAGAAGTATTGTTTCTAATTACTTTTACTTGACAAAGTTTGATTTGTTTTTTTCCACAGCAAGCCCAGGCATTCTGGGTTCGATTTCGCATTCATGTTGTCAACACGTAACCCATGCAATCCAGCAAATGCAGCAAACATACAAAATATTCTTTGGAAGCTTATGGTAGGAGGATGAAAACAGTAATCAGAATTCTTCATAAAAGCTCACTCTATACTGTAAAACTACAAATGCCTCTCTTTTTTTTCAAATCAAGGCACAGTAACTTGCCTTGCTATTAGCCACAAGGTATAGATAGGGACTCTGGGGCAAGTGATGCTCGGTCATCTTGGTGCTTGGGGGGGGGGTCAACAGTGGGAGGGCTTCTAATGTCCTGGCCCCACTGGTGGACCTCCTGATGGCACTGGTATTTCTGGCCACCGTGTGATACAGAGTGTTGGACTGGATGGGCCTTTGGCCTGATCCAACATTGGCATATCTTATGTTCTTATGTAACTTCTCAATTTGGATTTTGGACTAGCATTTCTCCAAGAGCACTGTCTCTCCACCTCCGAACAGCAAACTGGAGTTTCAAAAGCTATTTGTGGCCTGCAGGCCTTGCTGTTCCAAGAAAAGTAGCTAGACAGGTATAATCTTTATATTTAAAATTTATTACACTCATTTTGAGTAGTTGATTTAAGGTTTTTTAAACAATTAGCTGAACTTTGCATTAAAATATAGGATCGTTTCCAATGAGCCACATATAGAAATGCTTTCTTAGGGTTGCCAGTTCTGGGTTGGGAGATTCCTGGAGATTTTGGGGGTGGACTCTGGGAAGGGAAGGGCTTTGGGAGGAGAGGGACCTCAGTGGAGTATAATGCCATAAAGTCCACCTTCCAATGCCAGTTTTCTCCAGGAGAACTGATCTCTGTGACTTAGAGACCAGTTGCAATTCTGGAGCTCTCCAGCCACTACCTGGACACTGGCAACCCTAGCTTTCCTGCCTTGACCTTCCTGCAGCAGTCCCAGCAATGTCCCCAGAAATGTTTTTCCCCCCCTAGGAGTCAGGGGGTCCTTGCAGATGGCTTGAGATGTGGTCTGCAGAGAGAAGAAGTAAGCAGAACAGTGACAAGTTTCCACCCACAGAAATGGCCTTGCACTCCTGCAATAACAGATTTGGATCCAGCCCACAGAAAAAAAATATATTCCGGCAGTTATGAAGTAATGATGTCAGAAAGTTGAAGTATTTTTAAGGGAAATCCAGACAGGTGGTTTACTGAAAACTGGATGATCCCTAAACACTACCGTGGCACCACTCTAACTATTGCATGTCATCGTTCTGAAGAGTTTCATATTACCATGGATAACTCATGAGCAATCCCCACAATATCATCATGCTCAGGAAATGGCATGAATCTCTTCCTGTGGTCAGGAAGTCTTACAGAAATGACCATGTTACTATTAAGCTGGACCGATTCATGTCATTCTGGTGTACTTGTGCAAACCACACACAAGGCAGATTCACAGCACCACAAGCCATAGAATATTTCAAAAATATTATTGTTTTTACTACGGACTAGAAAAATCTCAGGATCAATGCATGGTATCCAGAATTTGGGGAAAAAAACCTGAGCAAAAATTGTCTTGACTTCAGAATAAAAAATCTAACTGAACCTGAACATCTGATTCCCCCCCCCCAATTCGTTCATTTTGTGGGGCACACAATATTTTTACTTAATCCTGTAAATAATTAGAGTGAGTATCTGTGTAGTCCATAGATGCACGTCCATTGTGAATTACAAATAATAAAGTAACCACTTTTAGTAGGGATGTTTCTTTGCTCAACTGCTTTTTACAAGTGGCATAAAAACATTCCAACTTCAAACATTCAAAGATGTATAAGAAACAGAAAGCCAAAGTACCTTGGGTTTTCTATATACATGAATTTCCATGATGCCCAAGAAGTATGAACGCCTTGGTTATTGACATGGTTAAAATTAAAATGTATAGAAAAGGAATTATAAACTATGTACACCTTCATAATCATCTTCTTCCCTACTTGTCACATTTGGTCTTTGCCACAACTTTACTACCTTTCCCAACCCTCAAAGGCACAACGTATTTTATGGATTGTCTCAAAGCACGGGAAAGGAAGCATGGCATACTTCCTGTTCCTTTCCCACCCTTTAAATTCCCACACAATCATGACCTGTCAAACTCTCATAGTCTTAACTTTGCACAACTTCAGTGCTTGCTCAGTCCTTTGCTTCCTTATGATTATATACCAGCATTGCCAAGGAAAGTAGTTTGGAGAGCCAGACTGATGTAGCGGTTAGGAGCACGGACTCTAATCTGGGAGAACCCAGTTTGATTCCCCACATCTCCACATGCAACTGTTGGTGTGACCTTGGGTCAATCATAAGTGCTTTCAGAGCTGCTCTCAAGGGCAGTTCTTGCGAGAGCTCTCTCAGCCCCACCTACCTCACAGAGCATCTGTTGTGGGGAGGGGAAGGGAAAAAGATAGTAAGGCACTATGAGACTCCTTCAGGTAATGAAGGGCGGGGTATAAATCCAATCCTTCCTCTCCTCCTCATCTCATAATCAGTGGGGGAGAGTTTTGTTGCCAACATCTAGCAGTGTGCAGGCAGGTGATATGTATTCCACAACAGGACCAAATTTGTGCATGTACATTTTGCAAGAAAGCAATTGAACATCTTAATATACATAAATCTCTGAATCAGAATATGTGTCTATATATCACTTGGTAACTCTAACCAAGACAAGACAAAACCAAAAGCTTGATTCAAATTTCATTGCCACCTTGCATTAAGGCTTTAACCACATACCACTAGATATTACCCTGTTGCCATGCTATATCAATCATTCTGTCTGCTGTTGGGAATGACTGATGTACTGCACAATATTCAACTGTACAGTAGATACAGATTTAGTCACTGGTTCATATACTTGAATTTTCACTGTATCTCCACAATACATCATAAGTAGTTTAATATTAGTTACTTCTGCAATGCCATTTTTTTCATGTATTAAGTCCTCAATCTAGATAAGGCAATGAGTCAGCCTAATGAACACTGAAATATCAGATACTGTTTGTGCTAAACTAAAAAAAAAACCCTTGATATCTAAGAAGCTTCGTTTCAGGTAAATGTAGCATAATGTTGCATGGAGTTCCATTTTTTCTTCTTCTTCTGCATTTAATGAAATCAACTTTAATTAAATCAACTTCACCAGCTTAGTCAGACAGGTGAGTGTGAAGAGGCTACTAGACTTGTTAGGGTTGTCAGCTCTGGACTGGGAAATACCTGGAGATTTTGGGGGTGGAGGCTGGGTAAGGCAGGGTTTGGGAAGGGAGGGACCTCAGCCAGGTATAATGCTATAGGGTCTAGCCTCCAAAACAGCCATTTTATCCAGGGAAACTAATCTTTCTCATTTGGAGAGGAGTTATAATTCCAGGACTTGTACATTGCTTTATTAATTAAAATAATTCCCCATTTAATTAACTTATAACAAAAATAATAATAATTTCCTTTCATTTTGTTCCAGTTTTCTTTGTTATTGCAGTGTCTGCCTCTAGTGGTTTCACTTTTACAAGGAAGTCAGTATTTTCCTAATAAAGGCATAGCGCTTCTTGCTCGGGGTGGGGGGGGAGGCACATTCTGGGCTTGCTTGACTTGAATGCTAGTATTATAGTTACAAATGTGAAGAACTCCAGTTGTGAAGTATATTGTTGGGACTTTGCCTTCCTCTCTTCTCCCAATGCTTGCTATGCTGTGCCAAATTTTCCATTGTAGTCTGGGTTCTCTTGCTTGTCTGCTGCTTCCCAGACCTTATCCACCACCACCCCATGCAAGCAAATCTACCTCAAGGTCTTTCTGCCACCGCCGCCACCTACAACACCAAAAGCCTTATCCTCTTTGTGCCAACAAATACCCTTGCCTCTTCAGTCAGCTTGAAAAACAGTAATACAAGGAAGAGACAAAGTGGCTGCAGTGCTGCCTGTGTTACTGTTTGGAATTTTTCCTATCAATTTTCCCATAGACTTTAATATTAAACATGGCACCCTTTCATTGCTTGTAAAGAGTGGGGGGCTTTATCTATCTAAAATTTGGCAATATGGGTGTCCTAGGGGAGTGCTACTATCTCCCTGAGTTTTGTCCAATTTGGATGCAAAACAACAAGAAAAGGCAGAGGGGTCCATTGAAATTAATAGGAAATAATAGCAAAATAGTATTATGACACTGGTAATGAAAGGAACAATAATGGAACAAAACCCAATAATGAAACAGTCCCTTTCGGAGTTAATAACAAAAACCAAAGAATGAAACAAACTCCCTTGCACAAGTCTAGGGGCTACTGAGCCCTTTCTCCTCTGACCTACCTAGCCTTTAAAAAAAGCAGTAAGGAATCGTAGGGTTACACACAACATATAGTTGAACCTGTATTTAAATGGTAGGCTGTCAATCATATTTTATTTATTAAAAAAGTCCTCAAGCTCAGATACAGAAGAATTTCACCTCTAAATGTTTGAGTGGCAAAACAAGGAATTTTACATAATTAAAATTTAAACACAGGTAAATAATATTGGGGAGGGAGAGACTGCAAATGTTGAAGTGGTTATGACTTCCCCATTCACCGTAGCCTCCACCCATTCTTGAGCACAGTTTCAGTGTGGCTATGCAATGATACAGTGCAATTAAAAGGAGTATTTTGCAGTTGTTTTTGGTTTGCTGCCGGAAAGAAGAAAATATCTCATTTTATTTTAAAATGTGTTTTTGTGTATGTTTGTATTGGAACAAGCTTTTGTATTCTAGGCATCTTTCCCCTTATTACATCCTTTGTGTGGGAGTAAGATAGAAAGCATTGCCCGTTAAACATTATGGGCACTGACAGATAGCTGGGGAAACCTTTTTTCATGCTGGACACTGAAC